CACTTTCAGTCTTCCCCGTGCTGCCGATCGGCGCGAGCGTGACATTTTTTCCGCGTCATCAAAATCCGGAAATTCTCACGCCGGATCGCCACGAAGCCCCGACGTGTTTTCCTTCTTGTCTTCGCTGTGTTATGGCCTTCCCCGCTCCTCCCCGCCACGCATGGATCCTGAAGCGCGTACGGATTTCTCTCGCGGGCGAGGTCTCGTCGTCGAGACTCGCCGCGATCTTCTCAGTTGATTCTTCGCAGCGTCCGAAAGTTGGCGAAACGCGCGCGATCCGCTCGCGCGTCCCCGCTCGACTCCGATCCGCCGTCGCGAGGATCACGCGCCTTTCCCGCGGACAGACTTCCCCCCTCCGTCGCCTTGGTATCCTTGATCGAGGAGAGGCTCCTCACCGACCAGGCCAATAGGCTCAGGACTACTATTAATAAAGTTGTCATGCGGTACGCATGCTGCCGCTGCCGCTGCCGCTGCCGCTGCGGCCGCCGCCGTCGACGCCGCCGCAATCGATTCCCCAAGGCTTCGACATACGGTACACATAAACGACGCGCGAGTGAAGCGCCACGTGATGCATCACTTTGATGTGTACAGGATCTCCCAAACGACGCGAATGATTGTCGTGATTAATTCCCGATTGCACGTCCCCCTTCCTCTTCCTCTTTTAACGAGCGCTCGCTCGCGAAAGTTCGAGCATCGGAAGAACCGCACGTAAAGCCTTCATCTGACGCAAAATAATGCTCGTAAAAATCGCGAAGTTTCACAAATCTTCCTTCGGGCATCTAAAAGTTCAAGGTAGAAGGAAATAAGTTGATTATTCAAGTACGATAAGCTGATGATATTTAAATTAAGTTGTTCGAGTAAAAATGATGAGTGTATCTACGATATCTTACGTTTGCTGATATTACGGGATCATATGACCGTACAAATAGTGATAACGATAAAGAAAAGTCGTTATTATAATACGAGACAGGGACGACCGAGTTGACTAAGTAGCTCAAGCAGTTGTGCTATTTAAATAGTCGATGTCGAATAGATGAATATTAACAATTATTAAGTAACAATTATACAAGACTAATATAAATAACAAAAATACAAGAAATCATACATGCGATCTCTGTGTTCGATAATAATTACATGTTCAAATTAAAACCCGAGGAGGATGCACGCGCACAGAGAGAAACAGTTTTGATCAAATCGCAAAGCAGAAAGGCATATATGTACAACTTCGATTCTCCAAGCGAGTTACATGCAACAAAGTTTATTTTTAGCAATATCCTTTGCAATAGATTCCCATCGATATCCGCATGTAAATACAATGAAAATTAAATGTATTTTACAGCCAATCGAGTACATCGGCAAATTGCGATACAGGCGCAATTATTCGCATTTCATAATTATGCGAGTTGTTAGAAGAATCTCCAGACGTCCATGAATATTTTATATAATTAATAATAATGTATGACATAATTGTAATAATTAAATCACTATGCGAGGCTCTATGATAATTATGAATTATGAGTGCTTTATTGCACTCCTCGTGCTCGCTACGTGACACGTTTTAATATTCAGCAGAAATAAAATGAGAAGCTACATCTGGCTTTGTAAATCTTGTATCGTCGCTCGATGTTTACTCGATTTCCATGAATCTAAAATAATCCCTTTGCACACGGGATGGAAACATTACCGGTGATGTACATCGTGGAACTTTATCGATTAGAAATTTCGCGGGAAATAATAATAATTAATCAGATGTTGTAACGTCCGATGAGAGAATGCAATTTCAAGAGAAATGCAGATAAGAAATCTCAACCCGAGTGGTTTCACATCGTTATCGGAATGATAATTGCCCCTTGTCTTTTTCCGCGTTGCTGCACGCGGATGTAGAAAAATATTGAAGGGGACCGTAATCAAGATTTTATGATCGTTATCTCGATAACTGAGTTCGTAACGATACCATTTTTCCACGCTCCACGATCGGACGTCGGGAGAACCGCGGGTAATTTTACACCCGGATTACCATCTTGCCGTATTAAAATTTCCACGTTTCGATTTCGCTTTCCGCGGCAGTCTCACGACACGTTTAAAAAGCAAAAGCAACGTTTAAATAAACTTTAATCGTCTTTATCTTTCCGCGAGTCTCAGATCGATAGCCATCATTAGCCAGGATATCATTACTACCGATAGCTTTCGTCGATCGAAGAATTGTTCCAAGAATTTCTTGGAATACGCTGAAAATTACACATCAATAAAACTGTCTTATATTATTCACGAACACGAGGCTTTCGTCTCGCAAAAACGGAATTGTTAACGGCCAGTTAAAATCGCCGAGTTGTCAAAGCGAATTCGTTCCTCGCAAATAATTCCTTTCCGTCTCTTTTGTCTCATTGATGATTGATTTCTCATTGATAACTTTTTTTTCTCGGAAAAATCGCGAGATAGATAATCACGCACGCACGCACGCACGCACGCACGCACGCACGCACGCACGCACGCACGCACGCACGCACGCACGAACGCACGCATGTGGGCACACGTGCGGAATTGAAACGGCCGCCGCGTGAATTAATTACCATTTGTCCCACAACGTGAAACAAACTGTTACGGAGTTGCAATGAAGAGCTCGATCGTTTATACGCCTCGTTCCGAACAATGTGATGTACCCGCGTTCGTTTACTTTTATCATCACGTGTGTTCCCACGACACGAAACATATGAGTCGTGGTATATATGCAGAGCATTTCTTGCGAAATGCGTATTTCGAGAAACTTGATCTTCGTCACGTTGCCTCGCGTATCCAGAAAATATACGATCGATCCGATTACGTTGATACATTAACCACTATTCAAACGAAAATGACATTTAAATTTCAGTTACCAGAAAGCACGTTCCTTTCCATAATTCTTTTGTTGTAATCAAACGCGTTACAAAAATTTTCGTGTCGTATCAAAAGAATATTCTTTTACTATTTCGCTATTTTGTTTTTTGCGAATGCGGAATAAAACGTTTTAACATCGAGGCGTATAATCATCTGGCGTATACCCGTCTCTACTTACATGATTGCTTCAATTTTTCATTTTTTTTCCATGACATTAAATCGGGAAGGATTGAGATCAATCCGTATTCTGTTTGTCGCGTGTGCACGCATCCGCGATAGTCTAATTAGAAAATGCCTTCGGGCGTCGCGTCTATTTTATGGTCGCAATTGATTCTATCAAGGCAAGATCAAAGCGTGATGGAGGCATAATTCGTCTTTTATCAAGTTACGTCAATACAAACTTCTTTGTTCGAAACGAACGCGTGAAGACACGGGCTGTCGATCGACTTTGTCTTTCGGATGTCATGATCCTCGAATTTTAACGTGGACTGATGCTCATTTCTACCAATAAAGATTAACTTTAATTTACTTTTTTTTTCTAATTCGAAAAATTAGAAAAAAGTAAAGAATATATTCAAACTGAAATTAAAGTTAATCTACATTAATAGAAATGCATATCGAAGATCGATGTGAAGCTACGTTCGAAAAAAATCACCCTCGTGCATCATTTTATCCTTTAATATTCGGTAAGGATAAAATAATACACGGGAGTCGCTCGGATGTTTCCGAATGTAGCCTTATCATCCGATCGAGTAATAGGAATCTTCGACAAATTCTGTTTGCCGTAGATCAGGAATTACGTGAGTGTCGCGTGTTGTCGAACTCTGCGACGCCGTTGTGTTGTGCACTTCACACACGACTACGCACTTTGCGAGCGATTGATAAATGCTCTTCCGCCTACGCGGCAGTGACAAGTCACATTTGAAGTTCCTTTGAATGCGCACCGAGGTGATCGCACTTACGTCATCCGGCAAGAAGGATCTTCGCCTCGATTATGACAGATGTGCACGACGAGCCATCGCGATATCCGCAGTTCACAGCGAATCGCAAATTGATTTAGAATTCGTCTCGTTCTAACAGATTTACGCCCACTTCTATCGACGTAGATTAATTTTGATCTCGGTTTAATTTACTCTTTATATTTTGCAATTGTAGGAATTAGGAAAAGATAAGGAGTAAATTAAAATTAATCTATACCGATAGAAATGGAAATCAGCGAGATAAGACATTCTTCGTCGCGATCTCGAAACATTCTCAGTCAATTTCAATTCGAATCTTTTTCAGAAGCCAAATCGAACAGCTGTAAATTAAAGTGAAGAAAGGTAGAGGCTTCCGGGACAGGGCTTTTAACGTATTCGCGGGACAGTCCTGCGGCTTGGTCACGTGCCTCCTCGCACGTGTCCAAGCTCCAGTGTTTACCTGTGCACACATGCATGCACGCGTGCGTGAACGCGTGCGTTACACCGCCGCCGACCGGCCCTGTAGCCTCGTAGCGTCGTGACGTCGTCACCCTCGCGTCTCGTCTCGCCTCTCCCGAGGCGCTAACGCGTGGACAAGAAGATACGCGTTCTTTTTTCCGCACGCACGCACGCACGCACGCACGCACGCACGCACGCACGCATGCACGCACGCACGCGCGCGCACACACACACACACACACGTCACGCATCTCGATAAGGTGCACACGAATCTGCGTGTATACACGCAATGAGCCGTCGGCGAGAGCCTAGTAAGACGCAGAAGCGGCGCGGGATTGATAAAAAGAGGACCGTCATACATATGTACATATATACACGCGCGACACAAAGCCGTTTCGCGCGCGAGCGTGTCTGTGTGGCGCGTTGCGTGTATAATGCGTGTCAGACGCGACGCGCCACACACGCGCGCATATATGTGCATATATGAGGGAGCGCTCGCGCGATTTATTCTCTTCCACCGCCTCATCTTTCTCTTTCTTCCTTTCATCCTCTGTCTACGTCGTTTCATCTCTAGCGTACTTTTCTCTCGCTCTCGCTCTCTCTTTCACTCCTTCCTCTCCGGTGCATCTTATCGCACGATATCGCATACATGCAAGGATGATCTATACGGATATGACTTTGGCAAAATTCCTTATTGTACGCACGTACCTTGGGATAGTGATGCACTTGGTGTTGCAGCTCTGCGTCGTGATGGCCTTCTCGAGCTCCTCGAGGCCCGCGGACTTCTTCAGCTTCTTGACCAGACTCTTAACGGCCTTCTCGCTCCATTTGTCCTCGCTCTCGGCCTTTTTCCAGCCCAGCAGCCGCTTGACGATAGGCGGGTTAAAGCTGGGCAGCATCGAAGTCATCATTTGCCCTGAGACGAGCGCGCGCGACCCGCATCAGGGCCGCTCCGACGGGTCGTCGTCGCGGTGCGCGTACAGAGCGCGTTAACGATTCGTTTTGCCGCGCGTCGTTCCGACGGATCGTGTCTTCACTCGGCTGTGGAGTCTCGGCGGCCGTGTGCGCGCGCGCGCGCACCCGCGTATACCCGATCACGACTCGCTCGCGGGCCTCCGTACCCGGTACGCACAACGGAATCACTCACTCTCGCACGCAGACGACGAATATTTTGCCACAGCCGCCATAGTGTATCCTGAGCGTGCGCCTCGGCGCGGCTCGGCCGAGATCGGCGTTCCTCGGTCGTGGCCACGGAATGCGGGCGTTACTAGAGACGCGCATATATCGTAGTCCTTGAAATATCTCGAGTGGCCAGTGATGATTGGTCTTTACCGTTAAATCCCTAAATTTAGATTGACGAATCACTCAACCTCACTTGGTGCAACTGTTGGGGGTTTGTTGAACGCAATTTTAGTGAGCTTTTGCAACGAGGTGGTATTTTCTTTTTAGATATAGAAGGATATACCAATTAGAACATTGATGTGTATCATTTTATCAATATTCTTTGTCGTCGAATCGTGCGTTGAATTCTTGTCTTCGATTGGTATATTTTTTTTAGATCCAAAAGGATATACCAATCAGAGACAAGAACTCAATGAGCACGCAAATCCAGCTAGCAAACCAGCAAGAAAAAAAGCATCGTATGCCGCTGGCTTAAGAATAAAATGATGCTTGCGCATTCGGATGTTATTTCTAAACCCTAGCATTAATTGACCAATCAGAATCAAGAATTTTTGCTCTTTTCATCTTGATTGGTTAAGTAAATGCTATTCTGCAGTCAGAAATCTATGTATTCTAAATTATTCTTATATATATGTATCCTTTTCTGAATCACAGAACGTTCTTCGCTCTTTGAAGAGTTGTTTCGGCATGATATGATATTCACGTTAACCGCAATCGCTTTTAATTTACTTATTGCGAGTGATTATACTTATTTCAGGTAATGCCTTATGATCAACAATAATGATACGATTACATGCACCTTTGATAAACGAGAGAATTCTATAGAAGTATTCGACGTTAATAATGAGTTATCAAAATAAATGTTGATTGCAGATGCAGAAAAGAAGAACACTTCACCGTTGAAGTATCTCACGAATTGTGCATTGTGTAACTGAAATTTGGATTGTTCGTATAGACGAGAAAGTTTGTAGTCGGTTTTGTTATAAGAATTGATTTTAACCGAAACAAAGTGACATAAGGAAAAGAAATAGTGGATATTATATAGTGGATATTATATAGTGGACATTATATGCATCAGTTTAAAACAAATATTTATTCAATACATAAAAAGAAGTTGCACATTGTCACAATTGTCACAGTCTTGAGCTATTGTTAAAGATAAAATGTAACATTTATGTTACTTGAGTAATTGATCAATTGAATATTTTTATCAGTTATATTGTTTGACACAACTCATATTTTTGCCTATATTTAAACATTGATACCATGGGTTTTGAAGGTAAGAATAATTTTTTGCATTATTCCTTATATGCATCGAATTAATATTAATCAAGAAATTATATTTATTATTTTAGTATATTTAAGGAAAATTTATGTCAAAACAGAGCTTTGGTTATAATTTTATAATAGATATAAAGATCATAAAAATGATATAAAAATTTGCATCATTATCACATTTTATTTAATTGGTATTAGATTGGTATTTTTTTTTAGAGATTTTATATCACATATAAAATATTTTCTTTTAAGATGAAAGAAGTGACTCAGAAGAGGAACATGATAAATCTAGAAGTAGTACTCCAGATTCACAAAAATCAAGAAACAGTAATATAGCAAGGAATAGATCGAAATCAAATTCAGCTAGTCCTAAATCTTCATCTATTAGGTATTTAGTAGTAATATTTAGTAATAATATTATTTATTTAATTATCACATTTTTTACAATTGGAATTAAATATTTTGAAATATTTGGAATTAAATATTTTAGATCAAATCAATCATCTCCAGTACGGAATGAATCTCCAACTTCTCCTCGTTCCAATGCAAGTTTGAGAAAATCTTATTCTAGATCGCCATCTAGATCACTTTCACCTAGCGGATCTGTTTCAAATGGCAAAAGAAGCATATCAAGATCGCATTCCAAATCTCCCTCTCCAGAACATACAGAAATAGGTGCAAGGAATGGATCACAATCACCAGCGCTCTCACATCGCTCTGTTAAATCAGGCTCAAGATCCCGAAGTTCCTCTCATTCTTCGTCTAGAAGTTCTCGTGCAGCATCGAGAAATAATTCACGTTCCAGATCGAGATCGAATTCTCCAAAGCCAAGTAATAGCCCATCGAAATGCATCTCGCCGAAGACGAATTTTCGATCGTCTTCCAGATCTCCTTCACCTCGAGCAGTTTCCAAATCGCGATCTCGATCAAGATCTGCTTCCCGCTCTCATTCTTGTTCTCCAAAAACATCAGTTCATTCACGCTCCCGATCGGCAACTCCCAAATCTTTTCACACAAGATCTAGATCAAGATCCAGATCAAGATCCAGATCAAAATCTAGATCAAGATCAGGATCAGCTAATCCAAAAGAAGCCAAAGCTGATTCAAGATCGAGATCTCCATCTGGATCTAAAAAAGGTTCTCGCTCACCTTCGGCATCACCTAATCGATCTCCAATCATAGCCAGACAGTCAAGATCAAGGTCAAAGTCACATTCTGTGAATAGTTCTCGAGAAGGTTCCCCTTTAAGAAAAAGTTCCCGTTCCAGATCTCGTTCCAGATCTCGTTCCAATTCGATAGATAAAAAATCTAAGTCAAGATCTAGATCAAGGTCTGGATCTAGAAAACAATCGAGATCACCTTCGCGAGGTCGACTTTTATCACGTTCAAAATCCAAATCGAAATCCAGATCTTTATCAGGTTCGAGAAAAGGCTCACGTTCAAGATCGCGATCAAGATCGCAAAAATCTGGATCTAGAGGCAAATCAAGGTCTATGTCGGGATCATGTAAAGGTTCTGTATCTCCCGCACGTTCGAGAAAACATTCTCGCTCAAGATCCAGCTCTCGGTCTAAATCTAAATCAAGATCCCGTTCAGTTTCAAAAGCTTCACGGTCAAGATCTCGCTCAGGATCCAGAAAATCACTATCGAGATCAAGATCGCGATCTCATTCAAGATCAAAATCTCGTTCGAGATCACATTCAGGTTCGCGTTCAAGGTCAAGATCAGGTTCGAGATCAAAATCGAAATCGAAATCGAAATCACGGTCAAGATCGAGATCACGTTCTAAATCGCGTTCAAGATCAAGGTCTGCATCGAGCGCCAAATCTAGGCATTCGTCACGTAAATCTCAATCTAAATCGAGGTCTAGATCGGGTTCCAGATCTAGAAAGTCCAGAAGTCGCAGCAGAGATTCAGATGGAGTAGCTAGAAAACGAAATAGAGTATTATCAGATTCTGAAGAAGAGACTGATGAAACTAAAGCAAAAAAACGAATGAAAACGATTTATCAGATTCTGAGCATGAGGATGGGAAAGAAAGGAAAAGGATGATGAGATACATCAAGAGGAAGAAGGTAGAAGATACAAGAAAATAAACAGTTGAATGCAACGATTAATGAAACAACAGGACAATGAAGATTCTGATGATGGAACTATTACTGGTGGAATGTAAGAATATATTTTAATTACAATAAAAAAGTATAAAAAGTATAAAAAATATTACAAAAGCACATTAAAGAATTAAAATATGAAAATACCAAAAATCTAGTAAGTTTATAAAAAAAAAATGATTAATCGAATTAAATATTTTCAGGGATGACATGTTGTCTGATTTTGATCGCATGTTAGCGCGAAAAAAAGAGGAACAATCCCGTAGGCGTAAACGAAAAGATATTGGTATTATCAATGATAATGACGATATCATAGCACAATTGTTAGCAGACATGAAAGGAGCAGCTGAAGAGGATAGAAGATTGAATCAACAAAATAAACCTGCGACAAATAAGATTGCTATGTTATCAAAAGTATTATCACAATTAAAGAAACACGATTTACAATTGGCCTTCTTAGAACATAATGTATTGTCGGTTCTTACCGATTGGTTAGCACCGATGCCTGATCGTTCATTACCGTCTCTTAAAATTAGAGATAATCTTCTAAAATTGTTATGGGAGGTAAGATTTCTCATACAAGATAATCTTTGATACAAAGAATACTTGTTTATTTATTCGTTTATTTATTATACTATGTGTTTATAGTTCCCAAAAATTGATCAAGCTTCGTTGAAGCAATCTGGTATCGGAAAGGCTGTGATGTATCTTTATAAGCATCCGAAAGAAACGAAAGAGAATAAAGAACGCGCTGGAAAGTTGATTAATGAATGGGCTCGGCCTATATTTAATTTATCCGCGGATTTCAAGGCGCTTTCAAAAGAAGAGAGGATGCAAAGGGATCTGGAACAGACACCTCAAAAGAGAAGAAAAACCGAGGACGGAGGATCCTCCCAAAAATCGCAGGATATTAATAAAGCCTTGAAAGGAGATTCCAAGTAATATTGACAATAATTCTTAATAATTGTTATGATTGCATTCTTGAAGTTCCCATTATTGAAGTTTTTCTATTTTGCAGACCATTGAGGCCAGGAGATCCTGGATGGGTAGGAAGAGCCAGAGTTCCTAGACCATCTAACAAGGATTACGTTATACGACCCGATTGGAAATCGGACATTGATATTAGCAGAGTAAGTGCTGATATTTATGATTTCTAATTTCAGAGTAAATAAACTTTACAGAGACATGAATTGATACAATTTCTATATTAAATTTCAGAGTACTAAGAAGCAAATGAGCCGTTTTGAGAGACATATGAAGAATTATATGGACAGTAAGCGTATGAAATCTGCGAGAAGAGCAGTAGATATATCTATAGAAGGTCGCAAAATGTCTTTGTAATATCCATAGATTTCTTATATTTTTTACCTCCTGATTGCACGAAAGAAGTTAAATGGCCTGATGGATGTAGTAGTTTTGTCGATATATTTTTTTGTCAATTGGCAGTATATGTTTGTGTGAACGAAGAAGAATGTGTAATTTTATTTCACGATGAATCGATAGCAATCACTGTGCAATTCTGTTGGAGAATAGGAGAAATAATTGTTGTCTGAAATATTTTTACCGGATTGTTTCAATGGATTAACAAAAAAATATTGCGAATTTTGTTTGTAAGCTAAACCTAATGTCCATTTGTTAAGTAATGTATTATTTATAACTCCAATGTTTATTGGTAGAATTACATAAAAATGCAGTGAATTTAGATATGTATACATTTTATTCTATAAAGCTGATCAACATGTTAGGACTTATACATTGAAAGAATTGTATAATTAAATAAATTCGCGACTATTTAAGCTGAGAAGTGTTCTTTTTCAAAAATATATGCTATGAGATTAATAATAAAAAGATTGCTTCCTAGAAATGTTTTGTATTACTGGAATACGAAAAATATATATTGGAATCCAATATATATATTTTTTTATATTTTATACATATTTATATATTTTATATTTTTTATATTTTGTGTCTCACACACACACACACACACACATATATATATATTCTTTTTACCTTCGCAATTAGATTAATTTCTTTCAAATTAGAACTTAAATGGCCGCTTCAAAACTTCCGTCGTGCAAGATGGCGTCAGTCTCTTTCCGGTTTATCGTTAATGGGACACGCGGTACTATGAAGGCTAAGGGAGAAGTGAGTAATTTTTGTAAATTCTACGTAAGAAACATGTGACATCGACCCTGAAGATTATTTTTTCCAATTTGAAACATCGATTATTCATATAAGATTTATACAAAAACTTAAATGGAGCTTTGCACCAAGATACGTGACGCGATATAACCTATAACTGCCCATGCTCGCGTGATCAGCTTAATGAATTTTTAATGAAATTCCGAAATGATCATTTTTCTTGTCTTTTCTAGCTGAAAGAATTCGAGGTGATAGGGCGCAAGCTCCCCACCGAGAAGGAAAAAACGACTCCTCTCTACAAAATGAGGATATTTGCTCCGGATGCTATAGTAGCTAAGTCCAGATTTTGGTACTTCTTACGCCAGCTGAAAAAGTTCAAAAAGTCTACTGGAGAAATCGTGTCTCTCAAGCAAGTACGTACTTGTGATACATCAGTTATAATTGTGTTTGTTTTGCTGGATGTATTATTTGTAGCTGTACTTTCGTGATTGAAATATATATAATTTTCAACTGAAATCTTTGTTGAACAAAGAAAGAAAAAAATACAAAGTACTATAAAGAAGCTATGAAGAAGAAACATAATATATATGGCTGATTTTATTATCTGATTAACTGTAACTGATTTTTTTAGATTCCTGAAAAGACTCCGATGAAAGTAAAAAATTTCGGAATTTGGCTGAGGTATGATTCCCGGTCAGGTACACACAATATGTACAGAGAGTATAGAGATCTTTCTGTCAGCGGGGCAGTAACGCAGTGTTACCGAGACATGGGTGCCCGTCATCGCGCTCGCGCTCATTCTATCCAGATAATCAAGGTGGAGGTGGTGAAGGCTGCGAATTGCCGTAGACCTCAAGTGAAACAGTTCCACGATTCCAAGATCAAGTTCCCGTTGCCTAAGCGAATCCAACATAGAAATCGCATGCCACTGTTCAGCGTCCGGAAACCGCGCACTTACTTCTTGTAAACAACACGGTATTTTTGTATTGTGACGCTATTCTACAAAAAAATAAAGGAACTATCCGTGTAATCGCCCGGTACATCAAACGGCTTGTTAATCCTTCCCTTTATTCCTTGTGTTTATTTTGAGAATAGCATATAAATAAAGTTAATATTTTAAAGATGAATAAAATATTAATTCGAAAAAGAATATTCCAAGAATAGAGAGATTTGAGCTAGCAGCACATAGAAAAACTTGAGCGTTAAAAAAGTAATCATGATTTTTAAAATAATATGTCTTAGATAATTTTCAACTTGAAAACTTTAATTAATAAATTTGCTTACTGAACTGTTAGGTTAATATTTCATTTATTATAAAATCACACAATAAAATCACAATAAATTTTTTTAATATATTGATTGACTAAAATAGTAAAGATTTCGTACCTATTTTATATGTTCAAAAAATTTATTTATTTAAAAATTTAAGATAAATGAAATATCGGACTTATTGTTTATATTTTTTTGTGCTACTAGTATAAATTTAAACAGAGATTTTAATTATAATAATTTTATAGAAATTTGTATGTAACTGTTAAAATTTAACAGTATAACAATTAACGATATAATATTAATTTTATGATTTATTATCTCAATATTTTTTAAACATATACATATCACAACCAGGTAATATCTAATTTTATTTAAAATTAGATTTTTATAGTTATTATCTGTATCCAATTATCTATAAAATTGATAATTAAAATAATTGCAATTTTGTGAAAATATACGTGTATAAAATTACAGTGTTAAAATATGTATATTTAATTGAAGCATTTGTATAATAAGAAATCATGAATTTCACAGTTAGGCCATGTAGGCATTATTCGATCATTTACAATCGACAATTTTTATCAATAGTCAATAATATCGATACTATTTAATTAGTTTTATATCGATATTTTTCAAATTTAATTGTCATGCCGCGTCGTATCGGACATGTGATTGGCGGATCTCTCTCTCTCTCTCTCTCTCTCTCTCTCTCTCTCGCGTGTTGTATACATCCAACAGTCATAATAACGAAGTTAAATCGCGTCATCGAACATTTTCGCAGAAATGAGCGAATGTCGTTAATGCGAGTCACGTGTTCCAGAAGCGAAATGGGATTCGCGCCCGTCAATTGCGAATTCAGACTATCTTCCGTCATGACTCAAACTATACATATATTTATTGATTCACGTCACCATATCTGAAGGCTTGAGAGATCTTTAGAAAAATATGCAATAAATGGTAAGTAACTGGCGGTCGTCGTCCGCTTCACGTTCCGCTTGACATCTCGTCTTTAATGTTTCCGATTCAGCTCGAGCGACACAAGCCCTTATGTGCAATCGTGCGCGGGAAAATCTCTCGCTTTGTTTCTATTGGAATTCTGTCACGCCGCTTCTGTCACGGATCGAGCGCGATGTCAACTGTTACGTATAATAAACATGTGTCACGTATTGTGTCACGTATAATAAACATACGTTTATCTGTCTAACGAACATTAACGATAAAATGATAAAACGCTTCTTCGACTTGATATTAGGTGTTGTGTAAACAACGTCGGTGACGTGTAGTGTCATGACATATGTCGATGTTAATAGATGATGGGACAGTTCATCACTACTCCTTGGATTTCGACTTCACCAACTTCACGCGTCATGTTCGATGTAGAGGGTGACAACGGCTTGATGTTGTACAATCGGTACCTGCCGGTCGAATTGCTGGTAGAGATCTTTTGCCGCGCCGATTGTAAAACTCTGCTGACATGCCAATTGGTATGTAAACGCTGGCAGATGATGATACAGAAATACGTCTGGCACAAAAAGGCGGAACAGACACTGGGCAAAGCATTTCCATGGCACGAAGATGTACCCTGGTCTGTATTCTATTTCATATGCAAGAAGCAGCCATATGAGAGAAATTTGATGAAGAATCATTCTGGTATGGAAGGTATGGATTATTGGACAATAACTTATAACAGTGGTGATTGTTGGACAGTTGAGGAACCACCTGCTGGTGTACCAGAATTGCCGACTACCGAACTAATGTTTAAAGAAAGACATACTTGTTTTACAACATCCTTTCACACTTGTATCAAAGAACAAAGTGTAGATCTAGTGGCTGAGGGTATTCATCCATATGTCCTAGATACCATGCAACCATCCATAACGGTACTGTCAAATTTTATGACAGAACTTGTAATATCATATAAAATTACAATGGTGATTAATTAACATTACATAACATTAATATACGTAGTTAACATTACATATATTGTAGGTGAGTGAATGGTATAGTTGTCGATGGGACTGTCCAGCAATATATCAATTGAAAGTTAGATTGTTAAAAGATGAGAAAGATACAGAAGTATTGGATGAGTTTCAATTCCATGACATTCTGGAGGGAGACAAGCAGAATAAATGGCTTCACGTGAGTATCCACAAAATAGTTTATGATTTTATAATGATAATTGGAGTAGATACTAGCTCTGATTTATACTTTCTTACATACTTTATCTTATGCAGGTTTCACATGTATTCAAAAATTATGGATCTGGTGTCAGAGTTATTACCTTCGAACATGGTGGAAAGGATAGATCATATTGGGCAGGACATTATGGCAGTAAAATGGCCGGAGCATGCATTTTTATAGAAGTTCCATCAAATAATTTTACTTGTGACAACGAAGATTTACTAAAACAATCAAAAGAAAGGTCAACCAAAAGGTTACCGGAAGTTACTAAAGTTATTTTATGAGACTCTCTTTCTACTTTTCTAAAACAAAATTTATATGATAAAACAACGATTGTTGATTGAATAAGATTGAGTGATATAAAGTTTAAGTTTATAAAATTTGTAAATATATTAACTTGTTATACTACTTAATGAAAACTTTACTATATTAATTCATTAATTATTTAATAAAAACTTAATTATTATTCAATAAAAACTAATTGTATTATCAAATTGCACTTAAAAGTATTAAAAATTATCGATATACAATTTATTGTATATATTATAAAAATTAGTTTTTAATAAAACAAAAATTGTTTAAAACGAAATATATATATTTTCTGTGTGCTTATGATATACAGTATAAATAAGTTTACGAATGTAACCGAAAAGCTATTTCGATTAAATTCTGAGGTGCAGAGTCTTGATGACACACATATAATTCCTTTGGATGAGGGTTTGTGTAGAGACGCCCAATTACCCAGAAAGCCATATTTTCCCACTCAAATAATACACCGTGTTCTTTAACAGCAATTAAGCTTCTATTGATTGCCGTTTTATCTATATCTTGATTCAACATTTTAAATCTTACTGTGTTATGCAATAACCTATGAATAACGTGTACACACTTGTTGAAGTTGACAAGAATCTTGTTATCTTTTGATGTATTTTGAATAGGTATTGATGACAATAGTATTCCTTCTACCGTGTCCAAATGAACATAGTGATATAAATAATTTTTATCACCCGCAGTTAACTTTCGCGGTATCAAGTATTCTGCTTGATTTAACAAATTCTCTCGTATGTTAGAGATATCCATTGTGAGCACATTGCTATCACTCTATAAGAAAAATCGATAAATATTTTACATATATACTGAATTTGTTTGATTTTATATATATATATATAT